CCATGGGGTCGAATTTTGATTCAGAGGCCGTGGGCATGACTTGCTGCTGTGAATGCTGCGGAGGAGGCTGCTCGTTCCCCTCGCCTGAGCTGCCGCCCGTGCTGGTAATACCGTCTAGGCGTAAGAGTTCAAAGAAATCGCTGTTCTCAGCAAATCCAGCGAAGGATGGTGACTGGCGCAACTCGTTTTCCTTCGTCGCGCAAACTAGCAGCTGGTGCGACTGCGGGAGCACGATCTTGTAGGATATCAACTCCTTCAGGTGCTGCTTCAGCTCAGCCACTTTCATTTTGGGCAAGTGCTCTTTGGTTAAATTGACGGCCAGCCTTGCGACTCTGCAATGCCTCTCTGCGCTGCGACCAGCCTTCGGGTGCTCCTGCATTGCCTTCTTGCCAGCCTCGCCCAACTAGGGTGTCGAAAAGCAAGGGCAACGGCAACGGCAACGGCCGATTGACTTAGTATCTAACATGCATTTCGTATAAAGTATAAATGTAGCACGTTGGTTCAAGGTTCAAGCCTCAAACAAAACACAGTGCTCGCTCTGAGCTCTCTAGGTCGGCTCACGGTATTGACAGGCTCAAAGCTCGAATAAGTGTAAAGACATGCTTGTTTCTTTACGTGTATATATATATACACACATCATTATTCGGATCCGCCACCGTACCCTTGGGCATCGGCATGGAGTGGGCGTGCCAGACTGTCCCTGCCCCTCTATCCTCATTCTTGGATCTTGGAACGTTAAGCTTTAGGCCTCAAAGTTTAAGCGTTCAACCTATCTCAGGGTTCGGAGCCCTCCCGGTCAATTCCTGGGCGCCCAGTATCTCCCCATGCAGAACCAACCAACACCTCTCGAAAGACTTAGGCGAAACAGCAACGGTGTGGGGTCCAAAAGGCAAAGAGGCAGCGGGGGGGGGATTAACGAAGCCTTCCGCCCCAAGAGGGCCCCGAGCTACTCGCTATACTCCCAAGTGGCCCCAAGATCCCAAGATGCCCCCAAGAGGCGAACGGATGCCCCTAAGCAACCCCCAAGAGGCCGAGAAGAGACTCCAAGAGGCCCCATGCGGCCTCGAAAAACTACAAACTTGCCTCCAAGAGTCAAGAGTCCCTCGAGTGCTCCATGCCAGATACCATCGAACATCCACGACGCCTCATACCTACAACCTTGGCACGGTGGTGGGGCTGTGGGCTTTTTGGCCGAAGGCCATTCGTAAGTGTAAGTACAGGAACGGGGTTGGTTATGTTTGACACTAGACCTGGAAGATGTCCTTCCCAAGCTTCGCGCCAGTCCTGAGAATGTCATCAATGTCCACGCGATTCATCCAATGCTCGACCGCGCCCTTCGGATCCGATGGGGCGTCTCCCTTGGCAGGCGATCTGGCGGTGTTCATCGACACGACCGTCTTGCTTCCACTCAGGCCCCCGCTTTTGATCTCCAACTCCTCGATGCCGCCGAGGTCGCCAGCCACGGAGCCAGCAACTGAAGCCCTCGCTGCGGCCGCTCCCGACGATGCACCTCTGCCGCGACTTCGGCCAGCCGCAGCCCCCCTCCGTCCGCCACCGCCACCGCCGCCACGACTAGCAGCAGCAGCAGCACCTCGACCACCTTTCTTAGACTTGCCTGCGAGCGTCTTGGCATTGCCCTGCTCCTTTGGAACATGTGTCGTGGTGACTACTTGCCCTTCGTCGCTGGCCTCGGAGGACGATTCAAATAGTTCTTTGCCGATGTCATCAAGCTCTTCTCCGGCAGCTTTCTTCTCTCGCCTCCTCTCTTCCCATTGTTTCATCTGCTCGAGGTCTTTGTTCTTCTTCGAATCCTCATCCACCTTGACCTTGCGGACGTTCTCCTCGATCGCCTGCAGCGTCGGGAGGTTGGCGAATTGATTTCCTCGGAGCTGCTGGATCCGAGCTCCAACATCTAGCTTCATCTGCGAATCGAACTTGGCCCGTGCTTGGCCATCCACCAAGTGCTTCTCTGCTGGCAACAACCCAATACTCTTCGACAAATCGCACTGACTGAAGAAGCGAATCTTGCGGTAGGGTTGGTCGGGGTCTTGGAATACGAATGCTTTTTCTTCTGTGCCGTCCAAATTTCTGTTGAGCGAGATCTCCATTACATCCGGGATGCCTTCGTGGGTATGCAAGAACTTTTTTGTGAATTGATCCGAGTCCAAGACAATGCCATCCCAGTACAAGTAGGAACCCACAGTTTCGGTCGATCTGACCTCTGCCTGGTTGAACGGAGCCTCAATCTTCTTCAGCTTGATCTCCTTCGCCATGTCGACCTTCGTTTTGTGGTCATCGATGTTCGCAGTGTACTTCGTGGCGTGATCCTCCCATGAAACGCCTGGCCAGACATCAAGCAACAATTGCATACAATCTCTGCAGGCCCTGCCCTGAGGTATCATATCCTTCTTCTTCCTCACGTACGCCGCCCACGTTGTCTCCTGGGTGGAGAGCCAAGAAACAAGTTTAGCCTCAACATCTCGAGCCTCTGAAATCGAAACTTGAGTCTTGCCCATGATCAGAGCCCCTGGGACCCTGCGGGGGACTTACAAACATCGCCCCTGGGGGTAGCCGCTAGCCGGATAGCAATGGGCAAAGTTCGGCCGCTGATGAGCGATGAGCGGATCCCAGGTTTTTGTTGTATCTCTGAGCCTCGCCGAGTACAAACAAATATTCGCCCGCTCCCTCCCTCACACACTCATCGCCATCATCATGGTTCATCCTCCTCTCCTCCTCTCTCTTCCTGATTTGGTTTCCGCTTCCTGGATGTGTCACACTTCTAAACAAGCTTTGCAGATTTGCATTATCCTATTCTCTCTGATTCTCTCTGAATGTGGGCACGTGCCGCATCCCCAATCCTCGACGGCCCAACCGGGGGGGGCAACGGGCAGTCAGTCAGTCAGTGCCGAATCCCCTCGACCGCAGACGAGACATGGGGCTTAGATGGGAGTGTGGGAGTGGTTGCTACTTTTTGACAGATCCGCCTCCGCCCTCCATCGCCCTATACCTTATACTATGCACCCCCAGCCCTCCTCCACACCCCCTCCCTCTCAACCCTGAAACTTTGTGTTTTTTGTTCTGCTTCTCTCAAATCATGCGCCCCCTGGCCCTGCCCTCTTTCCTCCTATCCTCCCCGTTTGGTGTTCGGTGGTCCGTCGGTGGCGTTTTGCAGACATCGCACTTGATGCTGACTGCCGCGCAGAACTTCGTCTTCTTGGAAGGTGGCTCTGCGCGCGCAGCAGCAGCAGCGGCGCCCTCGTCTCCAGAACCCAGCAAAGCATCCAATTCGCTCTGAAGAAGATCCTGGTAGGAGGCCTGCGAGCCCGCGGCCGTCATGGTCACAGCGGGCGCTGGTGAGTGAGCACTGACATCTGAAACATGGCGGGGCCTGATATTTCCGCGGCTACGGATGTACAAGACGTTGCATCTTGCATTTCTGTCATTCGGGTATCCTGGGACCCCTCCCCTAACCCGGATAGGAGCAAACGCCTTTGGGTTTGTTACAAGGGGGTATAAGGTATTAGGCTATGTGGGCTCTGAACGGTTCTCGGGTCCATCCAGAAAAGGATTGGGAAATTTTGCATATTGAAATCGCTTTAAGCTTAAGTTTGAGATGGCCAGGAAGGGGTGGCTGAAGGGCAAGGGAGACGAGTAAGTTGTGACGTTGCAGGGCGGGGGGGGGGAGGAGAGGAACGGAGGCAATCCTGTGGCAGGGTACAACCTCACAATCTACCAGACACCATACTGATCATAAACAATGCGCCAGACCCCTTTACCTTGGCCCTCTTGGCTCTTGGCTCAGGCTCATCACGGCTCAAGTCACGTCTCAAGTTCAGATTCAATGTTCGACAGAAGGCACACTATTTAACCATCCCGCATGCGGCAATGCTTTGTCTACCGATGCGGTTCCCAGAGATCCTCACGAGCTCAGCCACACGCAACATGTGCGGCCCCAAAACTTTATGTCCGAAAATTGGCTGGCTCGCGGGCTCAGACTCCATCACAGTCGGCTTACTGAGCAGCTGCAAGCGCGCATCTCCAGTTCAGGCTCTCAGGCCTTAGGTCTCAAATTGCAGAGGACCACGTCGGCCACAGGAAACAATTTCTGGACAATTCTGGTTCCCCCCTCCCTCTCGCTCTCTCTCTCTCTCTCTCTTCCTCTCCTACTCTTTCTCTCGATATTTACGCTCTGCACTCTACAATGCCAGCGCGCCCCGCGTGCCACACACGAAAACAATCATGGGTCCTGGGTGTCCTGTGCCGGGCTGTGGGGGTCTTGCGGCGGCTGCACTGATGGCGCGCGCTGCCACAACCCTGGCAACGGCACTTTCAAAATCATTGACATCATCGCCGATGCAAGCACAGGCAGCGTCATAGCCTCACCAGCGAGTTCCTGAAACGATTTCACATTGCCCTTTTTGCCGCAGGTGATATCCGCTGGGATGGGGTGACCTTGCAAGCGAAGCAACTCCTCCTCGAAAAGGATCCTGTCATGCTTATAAGAATATATCACGCTGCTAGTGGTGGCAACTTTCAGATTCCCCCACGGCTCTCTGACGTTCTGTTGAGAAATGTCCGCGTAGAAATTATCGACCAGTGCGTCTAATTTCTCTGACTTTGGAAGACCCTGGAAACCTCCCGGCGGATTTTTCACACGACTTTGCCAACCCAAGTCCAAGAGGTCCAAGATTCGTGGCTGAACTCCAACGCCTCGCAAACGAACCTCAGCTCGCCCAGTCCACGGTGCGGCATCCTCTGTCATGGACAATTTGGCCCGCATGTTCTGCGAATGCGTCTTCCACTTGGTTCTGTCCTCCCTGGCTGGGCGGGCTGCCTTGTGCAGCGGTGACGTGCAATGCAATGGCAATGAAAGAACACCGAACACATTCCTCGATATCATTTGATTGGGGGGGCAGCCCGATTGGGCCTGATCCGTGTTGGAAGTTGTTGGAGGCTAAGAAAAACAAGCGAACCCCAACTTAGTTATTTGCACCGTGGGCCTTGTCATTGTCAAGCAAACGCTGTACGAGCATGGGCTCGCCCTCTTGGTAGAACAGGTCATCGAGCTTGGTCGCCGCCATGAGCTTGCGTTTCTGGATGATCTCCTCTGGGCGCTTATCTGCACAGCGCTGATGCACTGATACATCGCGGCCCTCCCCCCTCCCCCCCCATGAGCCTCCTCAGGCCGCACTAAGTCACAAGAGGGGCCCAAGCGGGCCCCGCGCGGGCTCCAGGAGAGCCCACTTGGCAGGAGTCCCAGGAGGTCAGCGGGGTCCAAGAGGGCCCAACGCCAGAGTCCCAAGGCGTTCTTTATTTCTCTCTCTCTCTCTATAAATATGCCATTTCATTTCATCTCGATATATACTCTCTATACATATACATATATATCTATGTGTGTATATATATAGATATTTGTATGTACCATTATCACTATGTACATACAGACTTCTCGATCTAACGATCTATCTCTATCTCTCTCTCGTCGGGGAAGGCGCATGGAACGGGAGAGATGGAGGCGGCGATCTCTCCGGCAGCAACATACCAACATCAGGCCCTAATCATTAGGCCCGGCCTAGCACAATCATTCTCGAAGTCGGGTTCGCCCGAAAACTAGACCAACGATCAGGGGGCGGACGTAAGCATTGGAGAGGTCACGTGTCACTCGCGCACGGCTGCAACCACTTGTTGCAATGTAATGTTGTAATGTTGCCATGCGTTCGTGCAGTGATGCGCACGTCAGGTCGTTAAGTGTTAAGTGCCGAAGTGTCTGTATGTGTCTGCCCTTGCGTGTTCGCCAAGGGGCTTGCTTACGCACGTAAAAGAGTACATCTGCCCTCGAGTGCTCATGCACCGCCCCCCGCAGGCCCCTAAGAAATTATCAGCACTGGGACCCCCGCTCAATCTTATGAAGCCTTTGGCATATCCGCTCGCAGCCCCAGGAGGTCGGAGGAGACGGAGGAGTGGCTCAATAATGGTAGGCACACATCTCATGGAGGGAAGATGCTTCCAAGCAGGACGGCAATGTAACCCAATCATCTTCTCAAGAATTGTGACAGGAAGTGCCGCCGCATGCGAATGCCAATGCCGAGCCATCAAAGATACGGTTGACAGAAAGACGTCGCAACATTGGAATCGAGATGGTTCAATTGAATTCACTGTCAAGCTGGACGCATACCTCTCGTAATCACGAAGGTGTGTGTGTGTGTGTGTGTGTGTGTGTGTTGTGGTATAGACTTGTGAACGCGCGCGCGTGAGCTTACAGGCCCGACACACATGTCCCAAGACTCCTTAGGTCTCCTAAGGCTTAGGCCCCAAACCACCCACAGACGCCTAAGGCCCCTAGACACCCAATGACGCCTCAGGCTCATAGACACCCGCAGACGCCTAAGGCCCCAAGACAAACTTACCCTCACAATCATCGTGTCTGACGTGAGGCTTGACATAAGTTTATCATAACGTTCATCGTTCATTTCGTGATGCACGAACTCATGCATACACCAGTTTCCGTGCCATCATTGATCCCCACCGGGGTGATGTTCACGGTGGCTGATGTTGGTAGCAACCATGCATCCCGACATATACATGCCATATGGCCATCAGGTCCGAACTACACCCACAGAAGCCTAAGTCCGTAAAGTGCCTCCAGACAATACCCCGACACTCGAAGACGCCCCAAATCCCCAGACGCCGCAGGAAGCCTAAGGCCCCAGAGCACCCACAGACGCCTAACCCTAACGCGGCTTGAAACCTAAGGCCCCACCGAATTAGAATGAAGGCCTCGACCAGGTCCAGCGAGGCCCCGAGAGCATGCGAAGGGACAGAGGAACCGCTCAGAGAGGTCGACACATTAAGTGCACCACTGCCGATGCGTAACGGTGTAACGGCACCACTGAGCATAAAAGCGCCTCGGCGCCTGGGGCTCCTTGAAACAACCCCTCGGGCCTCGGCGAAGAACTGAAGTGCTGCTGCTCCGCCTCGGCCTAAAGCCAGAAGCCAGCAGCTCCGGAAGACCTGGCCTCAGCCAGAAGCCAACAGGTCTTCAAAGACGAATCGTAAACCTCTACCCTCCCCATCCTTTGAGGCTCTCTCAAGATCGGCATCGGAAAACAAATAACGATACATTCCGATCCGATACATGAGACCTCATGCTAAGCTGCTAATAAACCTTCCCCCGCTCTGGTTAGCGATTATTAGCCGTCTCGGACGGTGCTGATGAGGTTGAAAAATCATTCAGCAGACTGGTCGGCGTCGTTAGCTGCTGCTGCTGGCCTAAAGGAATCGACCAAGCCATCAAACAGCGTTTGAATCAAACAATTGGGTGTCATCCATCTGTGGCGGACCTGAAGGCGCGTCTGGTGGCATCGCAGCAAGCCGAGCGCGATCCCTGGAAGATAGCTTCTTCGGAGGCGCCTTGGGCACTGGCTCTGAGGCCCGCTTTGGG